ACCAATACAATCCCCTTGTGGCAGACACTTCTAACCATAATATTACAAGAATATTTATGTTTATGCTTAAAAGTGAGTCAATTTGTAAGCACATCAACAAAATTCTTCACACTTCTTTCTACACCACCTGTAAGGTAGTGTTCCTGGCATGTTTTAGTTTTCCCTGGAGGCCTAATGTTCTTTACAAATAACAATTTAAGTCATAATAATAATAATAAAAATATATTTACCAAGCAACAGCAACTAAACAAGAAACAAAATTAACGTTACGTATTTACAACAATTGTTCAAAATGCGAACCACCCACATCGATACATTTCTGACATCTGTTAATGGAATTAATTGAAGCTAATATCATCAATAACTTGAAAACGGCGAATCTTAGGGAAAAAATTTAAGTTACCTTTATTATGTATTTTGTGCATTAGAATATAAATCCGTTACAATAACTTGTAAAAAATGCAGTGGAGATGACCCCTGCCCAGTTGTACACCACTGGTTGTACCTTTAGAGCTGATATTTTAGGGAATGTAAGGTCTACTGTCATTTATTATCAGTACCAAATTTTATTGAGATCGAGTATAGATTCCGGAGGTATGAACAAAAAAATCAATTTTTTTAACAACTTCAACAAACTGTATCTCTAAAACGGAGCTGTTCCAGTCCAATGTGTATAAGGCAAACACATATATTTTAAAGAGATCTATTTGCCCTCGAAGTTTCCTGCATAAAATTCGGACCACCCTGTTACTACAATACAATAAATACTTTTTTTACGTTTTTCTAAATTGTGTATTCACTTTTGGTTGTGCATGTTGTATTATTTTTGGATGTAATTGTAACATAATATCATTTTTAAATTTATCTTAAAAAAACTGTATCCTTTATTTTCGAAAGCAATCATTTTTTTAGTTACCATAGCTGTTCATGAAAACTTATATTTTCTGAAAGATAAGAAAATAAGAGGCCAATGCAAACAAATTGAAAACTTTTTTTTACAATTCTTACCAAATGAACTCAATGTTCTTCGATGCCAGAAATATGAATATAATAAATATATTTAAACAAACAAATCTCTTTGTAGAGATGAACATCTTTGTTACAGGTAATGAGAGAACAACAAAAATACAAAATATTTTGCATGATTTCATTATTTAACAATTTCAATTTATCGGGTATATGTTTTTTTTTATTAATTATATTTTTGCATTAATGCAGTTAAAAGAGAGTAAAAATACTATAGCTAATAACAGAACATGATTTTTTTTAATAAAAAAGCAGTTTGCATTTTTTACAAAGCTATGGAAAAAATCTATTTCTTCTTTGTATAAATATGAGTAAAAAAACATGTACCGAATTTTGTATTAATACTTTCACTAATTTAGATATTAAGAGAATGTATTACCATCTTCAAGCTGATAGAGTTATATGTATATTTAACTATTTAATTTTAACTCTGTGGCATTATATAACACCGAGAACAAGTAAAATAGAGAACTTATATATTTATAATGGACAATACTTACAGCAGATTTCGCATTACGTATTATTATAAATTAATCAATATTCGTTTCAGTAATATCTGTATAAATACAAATGTAATAAACATAATTCATATGGAGGAAAAGCTTCTATTAAATTTTGTAATTTGATTAACGTCATATTCAATGGAGTTCTACCAAAATTTTGGAGGAGGAAAGTAATACTGTTGAAAGAACATTTAAAAAAATTGCCTTTACTTTTTTTGAACTATGAAAGATGTGTTCCAAATTCTTATGTGAGCTTGGATCTCTAACTACGGAAAAAGTCAAAAACAAACAAATTTAACCATCAACAATAATTACACACAAATAGATTTTCAAAACAGTAACACTTATTAAAGTGCCCGATACATAATGATGTGTATTTTGTATTTGTCTGCTGTTTTCAGTGTGGTATTTTTGGTTAGGCAAAACTATTTTCACAAAAATAACCTTTGACTAATTCTTTTGACGCAAGGGTGTATGACATTCATTTTTTAAATTTTTTCATAGGTGGCAAAAACCCAAAAAAAGAATATGATTTCCTGGTTTATATGGATATACTGGTTTTTTATGTCATAACTAAAGAATAAATTGTAAAGTCATTTACGTGTCCACTTAATTATTATGAATTTGTATATTTTGTATATACCGGGTTTTCGGGCATGCCCTTCTCAACTAAAATAATGGCGTCCACGTACCACTTCCGGTTATACCGGAAGTCGCCATCAACTTGCTTATTTTAAATTGAACACCCTATATATAATTGCAATTTTGGATTCTACGTGTTATTTTAGGTGGACTTTTATGAAGTTTCCCTATTCCTAAAATTAACCGCTTTCAAGATATTTAATTTTTTTCAAAAAAATGGAGAGAAACAGTGACTAGCTTCAAACCATGTGTATTTTATAGTAAGAAATATAAAGCAACAATATTTCTAGGGGGGATAGTTGGACCCCTAAGCTTCCAATCCTTACTTTCAAAGTGGCTTAATAGCATACAGGGTGCTAGAAATTTAATGCCCAGTTTAGTTAACTTCAAACCTTCATAAGTCGGTTTTTTAAGTGGAACACCCTGTATGTTTTACATATACAATTTTATTCTCTTTCGAACGGTATCAGGGTTCCCTATACCTATCTCTTCTAGTTTTTAAGTTATCTACTATTTTTTGTGTAATCACCTAAAATCATGTAATTTCTTGCGAGGATAGCTGTGGAATTTTTAGCAAAACTTCAAAACAAACAAATAAACTTTCACCAGTTATTTATTATTATTTATTTACAGACGTTGCAATGGGATTCTAAGCAGAACATTTACAGTTTTTAATGAGACATATCCCAATTTTCCACCAAGGAGCAGATTAAAGTTAAGAAGAATTCTAAAAAATCTATTTCATACATAGTAATACACAATTTTAATAATGTATGTTGATAATAATAATGCATTAAGATAAAAAAATACTTAAAAAAGTCATATGACCCCCATTAACAGCTAAGCATTTGTGGATTCTAGAGATAACACCATCAGTCACCGCTTTTGCTATTTCAGCTACAGGCAATTCATGGAACGCTCTTCGTATTCGAGCAATCAAATCCTCTTTTGAAGCAACGGGTGTAGATTAAACTTTTTGCTTTATTACTACCCAAACATAAAAATCTAATGGAGTGAGGTCGGGAGACCTCACTGGCCAATTCCACGGTCCTAGGCGTCTCATCCATCTATCTTCAAATATTTCAGTCAGCTGTTAATCGATTTGATTGTGACAGTGAGGTGGAGCCCCGTCTAATTGATACCAACACTTCCTTAGTTGGTCTAAAGGTATATCATCTAGAAAATCTGTCACAACCTTTTGCAAAATATTGAGATATCTGTCGGCATTTAAATTTTCTTCGTAGATATGGTAAGAAATTTGGTTTTATTTTGAAATTTTCTTTTCCGGATAACATGAGGGTTTTTAAATGACCACAAATGAGTATTACGTCTATTAAAAATAGTTTGTCTCGTAAATTTTGACTCGTCTATCCATATATGTTGCAAAAATTGTGGATCTTCTTGGTATCGCACTAACATCGTTTCACAAAGTTGTACATGTTGCACGGCGTCACCCGGATGAAGAGCAGAAAGTAGCTTAAATTTGTATGGATGCATATCATTATAGTTCTTAACATACTGTGAATAGACACTCGTGAAATGCCTAAGTCATACTCTGTGGCACGAGTTGAGGATTCTGGATGAATATTAAAATAGGCTAGCACATTTATTACATTATCTTCATTTGAAGTGATTGGGTTTTGGTAAAATTCTTTCTGCATAAATTCGACCATACTATAGTTGATTTGCTAAAATTCTTCTTAACTAGGTGGCTCATTGGTGGCAAATTTGGATACCTGTCTTATTAAAAACTGTACATGTTCTGCTTATAATTCCATTGCAACGTCCGTGAATGAATTTAAAATATCAGCAAATGAATATTTATTGTTTTCCATTTCTTATAAACACAAAATTAAACTGTCACTGCAAGCGACTAACAATAAATTAACAGTTTAGTTGATTGTTTCGAAGTTTTGCTAAAAATTCCACAGCTATCCTCGCAAGAAATTACATGATTTTAGGTGATTACACAAAAAATAGTAGATAACTTAAAAATTGGAAGAGATAGGTATAGGGAACCCTGATACCGTTCGAAAGAAATTAAAATTGTGCATCAGAATATAGAAAAATATACAGGGTGTTCCATTTAAAAAAACCGACTTATGAAGGTTTGAAGTTAACTAAACTCGGCATTAAATTTCTAGCACCTTGTATGCAATTAAGCCACTTTGAAAGTATGGATGGGAAGCTTAGGGGTCTAACTACACCCCCCCCCTCCCCCAAAAATAATGTTTCCTTCATTTTGAAGCTAGCAACTGTTTCCCTCCATATTTTTGAAAAAAAATTAATATCTCGAAAAGTTTACCTAAAATAACACGTAGAATCCAAAATTGCAAAAATATAGGGTGTTCCATTTAAAATAAGCAAGTTGATGGCGACATCCGGTATAACCGAAAGTGGTACGTGGACGCCATTATTTTAGTTGAGAAGGGCATTCCCGAAAACCCGATATCCCAAATTTTCAAAATTCAAATCGAAGTAGTCCCTGAAATAATTCTAATGTCACTAATGCCGTCACCGTGAGACACCCTGTATGTATTATTTTCTTGATATGTAATTAGGCAGATGCATATTTTTATATTCAATGCACTGGTCAGAACACCGCAAAATGCATTGTTTAAAACATCTTTTCTATTTTCGTATTTAAAGAACATATCAATGCAACAATACACGATTGTTTAAAAAAGACGATTTACGAAACTGAGGATACGCAAACATGTTTCTCGTACGGAGTTCTCGAACTACCCGCAATCGAAAGAAGCAATTCCTCAACGAGGAGGCTACCGAAGCTAGACAACAAGACAACATCAAATGAGTGGGGGCAGTTACCTGATAATCTAAATAGTTCCCGTAGCCCATATGGTTGCAGGGACATGGGCAGTTCTGGATGTGGTGCCGCAGTTCCGGATCCAGCATCCACGGGTCCGGCTCGGTCCCGTGGCCCCTGTTGACCATCGGGCCCTTGCATCACGGCTGCATTGATCACCTCGTGCTACCTGCACTGACTGTCGAGTGCCTGGAGATGCTGTCCCCCGTTACCATGACGGCGGCGCGCGCTTGTGCCGCACGTGATCTGCCGAAACGGCGTCACTCACGCGAACGTCCGCGGCCAGGTGTTGAAACCTCCAATACTTCCGACTCCCGATCATCCATCCAACCGGACGATTACTCCCATGGCCAGTAAAAGAACCTCCAGCGGGTCGGGCGGGTGATGTAATCGAGCATCGCGAGAGGGTCCTTCATCCGAGCGAAGAGGCGAGACTACGTTTCGCATGAAAGGGGTTCATTGTGCACGTTATAAATAGGACAGGTGGTCCCGTAAATACTTTATGGGCGCCGATTGTGACGGGAAATTGCTTCTGTCGATGAATAGCATCTTCTAGGACATCTTCAGAGACGAGCCGCGAGCGTCGGTCGATAGAGTTGCATCCGCCCAAAGCGCATGATTGTACCTGTTGCCGCGGCCCGTAGGGATGTCGGATGAATGCTGATACCATTATTATATTTATTTACACCGCCATGGTAATTAGGAGGTACTCAGTGTTGACTGTGATGTGGCCAGAGATGAATAAGCAGCCCCCCCTACGTTAGTTGACTGCGGCTTTGGAAACTTTCAGGTAATTACCATCGTTTCTGCCATTTCTGTATATTTTTCTATCATTAAAATCTGCTGTCGTTTTAGATAATAAATTTGTGATTTATGATAGTAAAAGCCGTCTATGAATGTAGATGCTATTGTGAAGAATGCAAGCGGACATAGGTACACAAAATAAGAGGAAACATTAGTGGTAAACATTGGACTAATTATTTAAGATAATTAAATACTTGTAATGGCTGGATAAGTAAACGATTTATTTCTTGAACTGAAATATTATATCTAAAGGGAATAGCTTATTGAGCATATGAAAACTGCACCAGCAACTAATGAAGAGTTTTTACCTTGCATTCATTGTTCTTTATATAAAACATCTTACACTTAATTTCAGTCTTCTACTCCGTTAATTAGGGAATAATGGGGGTGGCAACCCTTAACGTTAAATAATTTTTTTCGAAATTACTCGAGATATCTTAACGGGGTTGAAACTATTTATAAATGCCTACGAATTACAAATTCTAGATTTTTTCCAGAATTTTCGCTCGATTAAAAATGGTAGAAAACGAAAACCTACCAAAAAAATACAGTTCATTAATTTATTATTTACCTATTATATGTAAAAAATACAGATGATCCGAATTGGTGGAACACAGTTAAAAAATAAAATCCATAGTATCAAATATCCATATAAAGAAGTGTAATTTGACAGAAACAATAATACAAAGTACATATAGACATAACATATAAGAACTATTTAGAATAAAATATAAGAATTATTTAGAACCGGAGCTTAATCACCGTCATTATTTTCTTCCACAGTTGCCCATACAAGCTTAATCAAATATGGAGGTCAATATTTCAGCTGGTTTTAAGATTTTAGATTTGTAACGGTCATGTGACAAATAATAAATTACTCTCACTATATGGGAACAACAACCCACGGTTCTATTTACGTTTGCACAATCACACACATATCTTTGAATACCTTTGAATATCTTTAGTTCTAAAACAGATTCGTAATTCTTTCGCCACCTAGTATAAATAACCCTTTATATTTTTCAATTGTTCTCTGCTACACTGTAAACAAATTTCACTCAAATTTCACGCAATTGAGTGAAATTGTCACTCTATTAGTATGAGTACAACTGAGTGAAACATTGCATTAGAAATGAGTGAGTTTTACTCAAATCCAAATTACTGTTACTGAGTTATCAGTTGAGAACTTTTGACTCTATTCTGAGTATATAAAACCAATTTAGAGTTTACTTTTTCTCTAATATGATTTATATGTGCTAAATTCACAAGATGCTGCGATAAAACAAATTAAGCCAAATATGATAACCGAACCTGATTTATTACTGGCTTTTTCTATAAGGGACTGTGCCTCTGCGTTTACTGCCCCATTAACAACAATCTTTAATTTATCAATAAAAACTTCTTGTTTGAATGTTGGAAACTATCTAGAGTGTGTCCAGTGCACAAGAAGGGCAGTAAGAATTAATTGGTTAATTACAGGCCAATTTGTATTATTTGCAATTTCTCCAAAATATTTGAGATTCTATTACATGGCTTTTTATACAGATCCTTGTATTGGCTGTTGTCTTGGGAGCAACACGGTTTCATTAAGGGATCCACTGTTACTAACCTTGTCCAAAAAACTCAGTTTATTAGCGAGAAACTTGAGAAGATGAAACAAGTCGATGTTATCTATACCGATTTCACTAAAGCTTTTGACAGACTCGACCAGGACCTCTTGCTATACAAACTAGACGGGTTTGGTGTGTCCGAATCACTTTTGCAACTTTCTGAATCGTATTTACAAAATAGGTATCCGTTTGTTCAGCATCGTGGTTTTAAATCGCATAAGTTTCATCAAATATCTGGTGTGTCTCAAGGATCTATACTCGGACTCTTACTCTTTGTTCTTTTTGTAAAATACATCATGGTTGATCTACAGGTACACCATTTAATGTATATGCAGATGACCTTAAGCTATTTTGCGAAATAAATACCATTGCCGACTGCTATATGTTACAGAATACGCTTAATGTCATTAGTCTGTGGTGTCTAAATAATAATTTAACGCTAAATGCCTCCAGGTATAATATTACATTCACCAAAAAAATATTCTGTACTATTCGATTATAAATTGGATAATATAATATTGCATAGACCCGATTACATCAAAGTCCTTGGAGTTACATTTGACCCTACATTATCTTTTACAAAACATATAGACATAATTGCGTCATCTGCTTTCAAGAATATGGGGTTCATGATAAGAAATTCCAAAGGCATTTTTAGTATTTCTACACTACGATTGCTATACACTACTTTTATTCGTTCTAAATTAGAATATGCATCAATAGTTTGGAACCCAATTTATGCTAATTAAATTGCAACTTTGGAAAGAGTACACCGTAGGTTTATGAAATCAGCTGTGTACTTATTGGACGGTACATATCCCCTTCAGGGTTTTCCGCATGATCTATTAATTCAGCGTTTCAATATTCATGTCCTTGCTAAAAGAAGATCTGTTTTTCAAGTAATGTTTTTGTATAAAGTTCTACATAACATTTTGGACATTCCACGTGTTAATATTAATATCAAAGTACCATGACTATCAGCTAGAAGTAATAATGTTTTTAATCTACCCGCAACACGTAGTAACATCCTAGTAGCATCACTATTGTTTCAAATTGTTTCCAAGTACAGTGAAATAGAAAATAATGTCGATCTTTTTTGTCGTTTGGCTAATGATATAAAAAATGCTTTACTTATGTAATCATATCTGTCTTTTATAGTTTGTTGCGGTTTTATTTTGTTCGTTATATTTGTGTTATTTGTAAGTTTGTACTATTTTTTTTTCTCTATTTTTTCATAGTCAATTAACTTTTTTTATATTTTATTACTAGACTAAACATATCCTGTTATTGGGCATCGCCTGTTGAATGTGCATTTTTTAAATAAATATATAAATAAATTTAACTATTATTGAATCATTTTTTACTTAGACTTGGTTTTTAATTAACTAAATAAATCACTGATAAATGATTAATTAGGATAACCAGTGTTGAAATTAATTCGCTTCGCGAGGCATCCTCCTGTCCTGGCTGAGACTCGCCAGCTGAGACACACCTCCGCCGGTTAAGGCCTGTTCTCCTGGCGATCACGCTTTTCTGGAGCATCTAACGGGCTCCTATCAACAGTGCTCAAGATTACAGAAGCAATATGTAAGTGGTGCCATCTTCACGGCTCGATTCAAATTACTCGAAATTAATATACATTTAAACTCACTCAGCAATGAGGGCATTTACTCTGATTTATCAAAATGCCCAATATTGCGTGAAAATGTACTCAATAATTTCACTCAATATGGATTCACTCCGAACCTTTATTGCTTTCACTCACTACGATTTTTTTACAGTGTAGTTGGCCTAGACAGACTTAATGGTATCCCAGTTTATTAGTTCAAAATTGCAGTTATCCAAAGTGTAAATTCAGGTTCATGTAGACACGTGTAAATTTAGGTACGCGGTATGTATTATAATACATCAACGTTCGTATGAGTACATGTAATTCTACTTCAAACGGAACCACTGCCGCATCACTCGTATATTTTAAAGGAAGTCTCTAATGAGAGAGCTCTTAAGATAACATTTGAGTTATAGTCCCACCTTTGACTGCGTCTCTGTCATTTGTAAAGGATGTAGAAAGAATGTAAAGGTGTAGATATATTCTTCTCTGTAATGAAAAAAGTTAAAAGAATATACATGTTGAAGAAGTACAATATAATAAGCACATTTAATTGAAATCGGAAAATTACAATAATAATAAGAGTTGTTACATTATTTTTAGAAAATAATTGATTTTTAATAATAATAATTCTTTGTTGTTGCTGTTTTTTTAGTACAGTAAATAAATAGTGCATTATTGTGCAAAAAATGTTAAACGTAAAGGTTAGTCACAGTTATTGTTACTTCTAATAATGTAAACAGGTCAAGTTTCCATAAAATAGGGAAATAGAATATATTAATTTATAATTACCTAATAACGTGGATGTGCAATCACATTTAAGCTCTTGTGTTAATTAAATATAAATTTTTTAAATTTTAGTTGCAGTAATATGTTTATACAATGCTTCAAATCGATTTTCGCTGTTCAGATTTTCCATAGATTATTTTGTTTGCTTGGCAAACAATTGTCAAAAAGTGAATATTGTCGGCAATATATTATCTTCCTCATCTGTAATTTATGAGTAAGAGATAAAAAGGTAAATGTTATTATAACACAGTCACAATTACAATAAAAAAACTGTGAAGATAAATAAAGTAAATTTACCTTCATTTATAAAGTACTTATCCCATGCGTACAGTTTGTCGCAATAACTAAGTGCTTAAGGTATCAAATCGTTTTATTCCCATGCTATTTGCATGGAAACATTATTATCAGAATAAGGTAAACTTTATAAATTCAGAAACAACTCGGGATACTACAATTAATACTTGCACCTAAAATTCCTAATGTAGGAACAAACATTACCATATCCACAAACACTTTAGTATTGTCATCATTCCGTCATTGTTATTAACTTGTATTTTAGAAGATTTTGATTCAGAAAAGAAGTCTTCGAAAACTGAAGAAGTACTCGTATTTTTCACTTTCTGCTTTAACACTTTGATGGCGTTATTCTACACTAAAGACCACACTTAACGTTAAAAATAATATTAATAGCAAATTTCTCAAATTTATTGAAACTACGATACGAAAAATATGAATCTAAGAAAAAACCCAGAAGATCAGATTAATAAAAGGGGCCTTTTTTTGTTGAATACACAAAATGAAAATAATGAACATTACTGAAATGTGCGTTTTTTGAGAGAGGCTAGCTAAGGCCCATTGAAGAGATTTCCATTGTTATCCAAACAATTGATTTCCTATATATGTAACTAGTTGGTACAGTTAGTATTTGAATAAATGGTGTAAAGAAGTTGGTTTGCATATTTCTGGACAATTATCATGTCGTTGTTAATTTCTTAACGGTTCCAGAGATATTATCATTTTCTTTTTCACAATAAATTCTGATTGGAAATTAAGACCTCTAGTTAGTAATTATGTATGCTGTGTCTACTGGTCCATAGTGTTCCGGTGCATAGCATGACATCACTGGTCTGTTCTGTGACTTTCCGATAATTGGTTTTTATTTATGAGTCCTTTCCGAATTGCAAGTAGCTCTAAGCACCCATCTCTCGAAAATATTTAGATTTTTCTGGATTTTTATTGCTAGTCTGCAAAGTTCTCTCCTAAATTTTCTTTCACTTACTAGAATTTTCACTTAGGTCTTTTAAAGGTCCTGCATCTAACCTTTGCTCTTCCCTGTTGTTACTTTTTAGGTGGCAACGTTACTGCAGTATATATTTTACCACATGTACTGAGGATGCAGTATATATTGGGATCTTGCAGAACATCTCTCTTATAGTTCATCCTGCTCTACATTTTATTGTATTATAAACTGTAAAATTAAGCTCGCTCAGTGCGCTTTTGATTGTTGATAGATAAGTCCTTGATTTTCCTTGATTTTAGACATCCTACTGATGATTTGGTTAATATTTCTGTCAATATATCAAATTCCTTTGAGAGTTGATCTTAGATCTAAATACTACGAGTAATTACATTTTTAAATACACCCGATTCACTTTTAAATATTAGACATTAGTTTTGCTGAACACCCGCCTCTTTATTGGTCAACTGAGGTAAAGATTTTGTAAGTCAATTAGGATGGGAATGGCAGCTCTAGCCGAAATATATAAGAAAAACAGTAGTTATAGACAAAAATATTTAACGTGCTTTCTGACAAATCCCATTCTGGAGATTTGGCATCAACATCAATCAGCGTAATAGACTGTGGATCAAATTCATCGATTCTTTTCAGTATTTATCTGTGTTTTCTCTTAACCATTTTTCACATTTTACTGAAAATGTAGAAGTAGTCTATTCTTTTCAATTATTCCATCGGTATTGTTCTCAAGTGGTTGTTATTCGTTTTTTTTTTGTATTTTTCTCTCGTAGTTGAAATTATTAGCATATTTTATTATTTGTAGCATAGGCGATGAACGAAAGACCTTTATCAGGAGGAGGATGGGCACGAGGTGGCGCTTCCGAAGTTGTAAGAAGAGCGCACCCAGCGTCTGGAGCTCAATGGAATGTCCAAGTCGTGAGAGGAAAAGTGAATGGAAAATGTCTGTGGAACGCCTGTAAAGCTCTTAGTTTAGGCCTATTGCTCATGGTACTGGGTGCAGCTATGGCCACTATTGGTAAGATATCGTTCTTTTTACGTCTCTATGTCGATCTTTTTCAAAAAGCACTTTTTTTTGTTTACAAATCAAAAAACTAAAAATGTATTATTTTTATATTTTTTTTTTATAAAACTACATCTCAAAAGGAACAAAATGAAAAAAAAGTTTGTGATATCTCTAGTTTTTGCCAAGTTACAAGTGTTTGAAATTTATTTACCCAACATATTCAAATGCTTTTAAATGTCAGTGTTGCGAGAAACAACTACTCCGAGGGCTATATGTCACTACCGGCATTGAATTATACTCGCAACACCTAGTGCAACAGCTAGGATCGTTTGTCAGTTTAACCCACCAGGCACAGACCGGTTTCGGACTTATTAGTCCTCAACAGTGTGTCATAGCTGTTGCACTAGTTGTTGCGAGTATAATTCAATGCCGGTAGGGGCATATAGTCCTCGGAGTAGTTGTTTCTCGCAACACTGACAATTAAAATATCGTCTTCGCCCTCTGTGGGTGGCAGTCATGCAACAAGTACCTGCAATATAGCAGCACGACAGATGGAGCCATTTGCGCGCGCGCGTACAGTTCATTCAAATGCTTCTTTAGGAATTGAAATAAAAATCGGAAAAATTCTAAAAAACCAATGGGTACAAATAATACCAAAAAATCAGGAAAATTAAAATGGTCGAGTCACAACCTCAGTGATTTCGCATGTACAAATAGCGTCACTTTCTAAGGATGACTTCGACTGTTTACCCCAGTTTCCCTTGCTATTTTTATATACAATTTTGTAACCAAAACAGGAAGGAAAATTGTGCATGTTGTTTTAACCTTAGTCATCGAGAGAAAGAAGCAGGCCCAATGGAAATGTTTATTTTGCTAATAGTTCAAGATTGTATTAAATGTCATTGAAAGACTAATAAAAAATTGTTTTGCTTTTGTAATTAAGAAACTTTATAAAAATAACATGCTTCTTCTTCGTCTGTTAAGGATGAGATGATAATTCTAATAGTAATTTTGTCAAAACGCTTTAAAGTTAAAATTATTTATGTTTAGATATGTAAACAAAACGGTTATTTAAATTTGATATTAATCCTTTATTTTAGGGTATTATGCAGAAGATTTATCCATTGCTCAAGAGGTGCGAGGGAATCATACCGTTAGGGTAAAAAATGAATCCCGAGGATTTCACTTAAACAATCTTTCTTATGCAGGACCCATAGTTATGGGGGTCGGAGGTAAGAGGATACATTTTTGTCGTACATTCGGGATATAACAGCGACGTTACGTTGAAGGAAACACAACTTTGCTTAAGAATCACATTGTTAGTAGCGAAGCATATATGAAAAAATTAGTAAAATTTGAAACTTTGCTTATTTGAATGAAAGATAGCCAGATGGACGGATTCAACCCTTCCATAATTACGTATTTATCCAAATTGTCCAGAAATTAGAGTAATATAATTTACTTTCATCTTTGATCCACCACTGATTGCGTTCTTAACATTGTCATGGTTTGAAAATATCAAATCAAGATGCACAAACGTTGTGATCTGGAAATAGTATTCTTACAAGAAGAGTCTCTTCAACATCAAATCGTTTTTTGACAGTTGAACTTCTTGAGAACCCACTTTCGATACAATTGGTTAGTTTTTGGTCTAAGTTTTTCTAATGTAACATTGTACCAAGTCTGGTACTTGACTAATTGACCAAAAACTACTCATGTCACATATTTCAATGACTGTAGAGCACTTAAGAATCGTTATAGGAAAAAAGTTAATCTTGTATTTTTGTTTGTTTTGATCCAACATCGCTGTTACACACTGTATATTAGACATAATAAGAAATATGACACCATCATAAGTTTTTTCTTTCTATATGAAACAATACGTTACAAATAATTTTTCCACTTGGAAACTTTCTGATAAACTGCTTTATCTTCTTTCCCTGAAAAAGAAAAACATAGATTTAACCTATGAGGACATAATTCAGTATCAGAAAGTGAATTAATGCTTTTCTCCAACAAAGGAGGGAAAAGGAGATCTTCCAGAATGTATACAATATATCCATGGATAGAGTGAACAAAAGGAATTTTTTTTATTTTACATTTTACGGAAAAAAGCATATCTGATAAAAAGTTTTGCTTGCATTTAAAATGTACGGGGCGTCTAAAAAATTGTTCGGAATTAGAAGTTACGAAAAAATTTTATTAGTGGCAAAAATGTATGTCCACGATTGAGTGTACAGGTTGAAAATGTTGTTAATTTTATTTATAATTTTTCAATGAAGTATTAAATATGAAAAAGGATATTATAGAATTCCAAGTTGTGGCAAAATTAGTACACTTTGTTTATTAAAAGATATGTCGACGGATATAATTCACATCAGGAAAAACTCTTTCTCCGCTATGGGGAAGAAATATATTTTTTTCTAACTCTATATATTGTTTGTAATTATTATTATAATTATTTAATTTTGACGTTATTTTATTTTACTTCAAATACTAGGTTGAGACGAAAATAAGGAGTTGCGAACCCAGTTTTCAACCATACTGTAGAGATAGGCGACCAAGTGAAACTTTTGTTTTTGTCTGTAAATCGGAACGACTTCCATTAACCATGTTTACAGACGAATTCACTTGTTCGATCAGTAACATTGTTGCGACATTCAATTCCTGAAAATTCTTATTTTAGAATGCCACCTATGAAACAATATTTCAAGTAAACGTTTGGTGTGTATGTGCAGTTTCCTTTTATGGAATAATAGAACCATACTTCTTTGAAAATACATGCAACTGGATCAGCTACGTGAATATGGTCCAAATGTTTCTCAATGAATTGGAAAATTTACCACTGGTCTACCGAAATTCTCTTCATTTCCATCAACATTACAGTTTGCTATAAGTGTTACGATCTGGTTTTTCAATCACTGAATTGTCCGGCATCATCCATATCCATGGCCTCATGGTGTCCAGAATTAACAACCATGGACTTTTGCGTGGGGAGTAGCCTCAACAGATTATGTTCAATCTTTGGACAATAAATAACATGGACTAGCTAAAATAATGTATTAAGGAAGCTGTACAGTTCATATCTTTAAAAGAAGTTAGACAAAGCTATGAGGAATTCCTTGCTCGCCATCAAATGTATATGGACGTTCGTGGAGGAGTGTCTGAATAATGTTTTATTATAATTTTTTTCCCAAATTTATTGTGTTCTTAAAACATTTAAACCAGTTTTGTGTAATAATTGTTTGTTTGCTAAGTATAACTTTCTCGAAAGAGTAAAATTAAAGGTAGTTTACTCTTATGACATTTTCATATTTTTAATTTTCTAAACTTATAGTTATGTAAAAGTAATAATGACTTTGATAATCTTAAAATACTTTTTATTATTAAGGAGCAAATATATTCGAGTAATTCCAATTTAGTTATATAACAAACTTCCTTAATACTATAAAATCATATTAATATTAAAAATAACATTGTCATTTCGCACTGTTAAGTAAACTCAAAAATTAGTTTAATGTATAAAATTTTCCCATGAAAAGCTAGATTGTTGTCTATGTGCAGCTACCAGTAATTAATTTAAACTAACGCTGGTGAAACTTTTTCTATACATATATTTTTATAGCGACTCGCCCAATACATGAAGGAAATACGAAAGCCGTATCTAACATCGATTAGTTTTTTGTTCAGGGGTGTCTAACTTTCAACTTTTTTGTCTATTGATCGCTGTTTCACACTCGTTACTTTCTCTAATAATGATCAGATGGCCGGCAACTGATAGGCGGATGGACGGTTTGTTGAGGCGTTATAACTAGATTACTAGCCTCTTAGTTATTTCAAAGAGGCTCTACAGAGTTGCAACCCCGTGAATAATAAAAAAATTACGAATACTAGATAATTTATTACAAATTGCTAAATATGTCTGTGACAATAAAAGTTAAATGAGAGTTTTACTGCTTGATTTGTTAATTGTTAATTAATATTTAATATTCCATTTAAGTTGTTTGAAATATTTAAAAAATAGAACTCAATTTTTTAGTGAAAATATACCTATTTTTAATAATCTTTTTTATATCTTGTTCTCTATTGTAGTTATATTGATTTGAACATTATTAATAACTTAATAATACGAATATTTCTCATCGCTCTAATGTCAGGTTAAATTTTTATAATGAAAAACAATTTACTTTTCGAAATATCTGTACTATCTGTAATGAACAAACTATCAATAAAATAATATAACAAATTGAGAATGCTGGTAATACTCGTTAAAATAAGAGGAAACTATTTAAAAATTCTGCATGGGAATTGGTGACGTTCAAGTCATTCTAAATAAAAAAAGATTACTGTTTTAAGTCGACAGGTTCTCCAGACAGACTCCAGTGATTTTGATAAAAATACTAGTGGCAACCGGACTGTGCCATCATATAAAACACTGTAGATATATGCTCTTTTGACACTGACTTTGAATCCGTAAAAAATAAAAAAAATCATTATTCGTTTTCAAGAAAAAAACATTGAAATAAAATTTTTGGAATTTTGTATTTTTACATTTAAAATTGTTTTATTTTAATTTATAGCATGTGTTAACAACTGAAAACATACAACAAAACATTAATTATTAAACTGCAAAAAGTTTCCTACTTCAGATGATAAATATAATAATTCCATTGCATTCTTTTCCATTTTACCGTTTTGTTTGATATCATTTTATCGGAAATGGGTTATTGTTGAAACCATTTTCAATTGTATCAAATCTCATATTCGGCTTACAATCAAAGTGTAACTTTTACATTTATCAATTTTTCATTATGGTTTATTCATTAGCTGAAAAAGTTGAAATAATTTTTTTTATGGAAAACAAAATGAATGTGCTAGAGAAACTGGTCGAATTTTCAATGAGTTGCATCCAGGTCACCAAACAAGTCATACGTACGTGAGCCAGATTGTTAAGAAATTTCGAGAAACTGGGTCCGTAGCAAGTCTTAAGAAAACCAATCCTCCTAACGAATTAATGGAAGTAGGAATTTTGGGCGAACTGACAATGAATCCACACCAATCCGTGCGATCGTTAGAGCGTACTACAGGGATCCGTAAGTCGAACGTTCATCGGATTTTGCAAAAACACAAATGGCATCCGTACAAAACGCATCTTGTGCATTGTTTGAACGAGAATGATCCGGATCGAAGAATAGAATTTTGTGATATCATGTCTAACAGAATTACAGAAAATCAAAATATACTTTACAATATCTGCTTCAGTGATGAGCGTACGTTTTTTCTCAAAGGTACAGTGAATAGGCATAATATTCGTTATTAGTCGGGTGAAAACCCTCATTGTGTTAGGGAATCGCACACTCAGTATTCAGAAAAGCTGAACGTCTGGGCAGGAATATTGGGTAATCACATAGTTGGTTCATTTTTTTTAGATGGCCCTTTGACTAGAGCCAGCTATTTACGTTTGTTGGAAGATCATATTGATCCCATGATCACTGAAATTCTGGAGAATGATGATCAGTTGGATGAAAATCTTGTGACGTTCCAACAAGACGGAGATTCAGCCCATTTTGAGCGACGAGTTTGGCCTTATTCCAGGACAATGGATAGGTAGCCGTGGGGCTATAGAATGGCCAGCATCTTGAAGATTTAAGACAACGTATTGTAAACGAATGTCGGAATTTAACCCCAGAGGTTTTTGCAAATGTAAGGAGATGTTTCGCAGACAGGCTCCATATTTGCCAAGAACTGGGTGCACGATTTGAGCATCTATTATAAACAATTTTAAATGTAACAATACAAAATTCCAAAAATTTAATTTCAATGTTTTTTTTGAAACGAATAACGATTTTTTATTTTTTTTACGGAATCAAAGTCAGTATCAAAAGAGCTTTCAAACTATACTTGTACGGAGGATTGGCGCCCTCTGTGCAGGTATGGTAGAGTGGAAGAATGTTGGCTTGGGTCAATGTGAGAGATTGACACCGGTTGGCATTTGACTACCCCCCTAATTAATGAGGTTTTCCAGGTTTCCCTCATTCCTGCACTGAATGGTGGTTAGGGCCTACCAACATAAGTCGTTCCTGGGCGCAAATGCGGCCTGCGTAATAATAATATGCCGCCTCCTCTCCCGCACAAGTCTCCGACTTCTGGGCTAACTCTCGTAGTTAGAATGAGGAGTAGAGATATTATTATTATTATTATAAACGATGTATCACACGCCCTGTAATGCCATTTGAAATTTCAAGGTCGATACCTCGATCTACGAAGGGGTGGCAACTACAAAATATGTAATGATGTAAGTCAATGTAACCCTCAAATAAAAAATCGACGTGTTTTTGAAATTTTTTCAAAACTTAATATTAAACGAAATGGTCAGGTGGAAAGTTTTATATGATACACCCTGTATGTTTCCTACTCCAATTTACCATTAACAAATTTTTTATAAAAAACGCATTTTTTTTAGTTTTTTGTTTATAAAACCTAAACGATATGTCTATCGATCCGATCGGATGATTAGAAACGAAGAAAACCCGAAAAAAACGGAAAATTTATCGTTTTTTTTAAATTAATTACTCTGCCATTTTTGAAGTTGTACGGCTGATACTGCACCAAATTTCGAAACAATCTACTCGTATTAATACAATACAATATTTTTATGAACTTCAACACCTTGCATCTTTGTAAGGAGGCATTTTAGTACAAAGGTTTATTGAACCAATTATTTTCTTTCAGCGAAAAGAAGTTTCGGTTAAATTTGTGCCAATTAATTATGACTCATCCTGTATATACCGTGTCCACCTATTGCGCATAAGTCCAATATTTAGGTTAATAAATGATATAACTTATTTTTTTTTCTACAGAGTTGCCTACTTTTCCGAGCTGCACAAAATGAAAATACATTTGCATATACAGGGTGTTCAGTTTTCCCTGGGCAGGTACCAACTTAATTTTTTTTTAATGGAAACCTATATATTTTATGGCATTATCGAATTCTACGTGAAAAATTAACGGGACTTTGTGTTATGATCCCTATTAAAATATTGATAGTTTTCGAGATAATCGACTTTTCATTTTTCTTCTTATGTTTCGTCACTTCTAGTAGTTGACATAATTATGATTGTTCGTTCTTTTTGTCGGGAAAAATAATGTAAGGGTATTTATTTTAAGTTAGCTTGCGACTATGAGTATTCTTTTTTCAAAATTCTATTCATCCAAATTTTTTAATCTCCAATTTCACTAATAACTTTCTTAACTACGGTAACAGTGCATAATTTTCAATATTATGCGGATGAAACTTCTTCAATATTTTATTTGTCAAGCTTTTGAAAACTCCAAGGTTACTACTAATTTCCTAATACTGATATTTGGATTTTCAACCGCAGACGCCACAACTTTAAACTAAATATTATCGTTGTTACTTTCATGTCTCCTGGTAGTTTTCTCATAATTCGCATTTGCTGTTCATTCAAACCTTTCCTTCACATTTTCAAAACAGTGGGAATCTCTGTAAATTTGGATTATTTGCTTTGTAAATACGTGCTGCTAGCAAACATTTCCCATATTTTGCTAATTCTTAATCACTTATAGCGATTTTACGGTTTTTTGATTTTATTTACAAATAAATGGTAACTTTCCATAAAGACTTATTTATTAAACTCAAATATCTAAATTTTTCAGTTATTAATTTTTATTTTAAATAGTGTAGCTAGACAACTAATAAATTTAATAAAAATAAATACCCTTACAATATTTTTCTCGACAAAGGAACGGGCGCAAATCCGGTATTTTACATAAAAATGGGTTTTTTACAAAAACTACGCAACTTAGGTCTAGGGAGAGCTATTAAAAAATTGTAGGGTCTACAGAAAGGCATCTAATGAAATCATAAAACACAGGGTGTTCTAGCTCTGTAGAAAAAAAATTAAGTTATATCTTTTATTAACTTTATTATTGGACTTACGCGCACTAGGTGGACACGGTGTAGATGAAGATAAAAAAAAATATTTGGGAAAAAATTAAATAATCTCTCGTAACGTATTGATTACAGCTATTTTAAATCTCACGTTCATTTGCAGGCTTCATTGTGGTGGCAGCTTGCGTGATGACTTTTGAAGCTCGCGATTCAGCAGCAAAAGTTGTGCCTGCTAGATTTAAGTTAAGTACAACTGGCCCCCCGAGCGCAGTGTGCGCTCACGGAGGCTACAGTAGACACGGTTCCTTAAGAACTTCAGGATCACAGACTGGCACTACCGTTCAACATACGCATCAACATTCCCATTATCACTCATCAACTACCGACAGGCGCGCGTTGACGCAGTCTTTCATGCACTTTTCAAGGGGCCTTGCGTTAGAGACTCAACACAACAAAAATATGCTCAAAGTTCCACAGGTACGTAGACCGATGTTTTTCTTACGAAAATTCGATAATAAACGTGTATTGTTTATTTAGTTATTTATTATTAGTCAAGTAGAAGAAAAAGTATTACTAAATATTAAATTTACTTAAAAGAGAAGAAACATACACAACAAAAATATGGTCACATAAGTAAGATTGTTAGTAAATAGGCGAAAGAATAGCGGACCCAAGTTCCAACCCTGAGGAACCCCGATGTAGCTATAGCTCAGTAGGTATATCCGAATTCTTGGCACATGAACCGATTGACGTGAAATTTTAACAGTAAGTAGAAAATTGCTCAAGAAACAAAAGTTACATAGTGCCGATGTGTGCTTCTTCGTTGCCACCCCCTTCTCGGGGGTGGCAACGAAGGCACCCATTTTAATCGCAAAAATAAATAGAGCAAAAATTTTTCTATAACGTTTTTTCCTAAAATTAATATTTTCCGAGTTTTGCGATTGAAAATGTTGATTTTTCATTTAAAATGTGCATGTTTTTCAACCATAAATAACTCGAAAACCTTGCAATTTATCGAAAAACCCATAGAAAGCAAAAATAAATCTTTTGAAATAACGAATCGACTCATTTTTTGTTGATTACCGTAGATGTAATAATAACCGAGTTATCACTCTCTAAAAGTGATTGTTTATTTTTCGGAAAGTAAAATCGAACCATTTACCGTAAAATAATGGCGGAAGAACTAATCTTTCGAAGAAAATGAATATAACCTTTTTTAAAGTGCTTGGAAAGAACTTTAAAATACTTTGTGAAAAAATTTCGTAGATCAAAAATTCGCGGAGTTATGATGAAAATAAAATGGTCATCCCATTTTTTCGGAGGAAAAAAAAATAGAAACTAAGCGTAATCCATGTACAGTTGATTTTATTTAGGTACTAATAATAGGCTCTGCAAGTTTGACCGGCCTAAATTTAAAAAAAGTTTGAAATAATGAAACATTTTTTTTATTTTTAAAAAAATTCATTTCATTCAATTTAAAGGTCTTTTTTTGTAATATTTTTGCTCTTTCAATTTTTCTGTAGAGGAAAATTAACTGAGATATTACGTTTTTTAGTTTGCATTTGCGTATAAGGACCGACCACCTTCTTTGAGCCCTTAAAACCTAAAAATCTCGAAAACGAAGAGTTCAAGACCCTTCAACTATAAAGGTTGATTTGTAGCTCTTGCAATTCCCTGCAAATTGCTTTTTGGAGCAATGAAAAATGTTAAAAATTGAAAAAGTTATCGTGAAAAAACGAATTGTATTATTCAGTGCAAATTGTCGGATCGTGTGTAAATGGCTTAATTTCCGATAATTTCTAAAAAAGTATAATTGTATAATACACAAATAATTTTTATTTTCCTTTCACTAATTACATAATTTAAGTTTCGAGTTTTAAGTAATCTCGTTGAATTTAGTAACGTATCGTTTAGTGTTTTGAAGCAGTTAAAAATTCTTCAACTGCTCATTGAGGGTTGAAACGCATATTATAAGCAGTGATGAGTCTTTCATTCATTATAAATGTCATGAAGATGTGAAAGAAATTTTTTGCTTTATTTTCTGCAATAAGGGTGATTTTAAGGGTTGAAACAATGCAATAAATCACGTATTATTTCATAAACAGTAAAAAATATTCAATTCTTCATTATTGCCCCGTCAAAATATTTCAGAGCCGCGAAAACTCATTTTTGTTTTTTTATGAAGGAGGATGAAATGAGCTTACTCACCAATTTTCATGAAAATCGGTGTCAAGAATTCCGAGGTAATACCCTATTTTTACCGTTGTACACTGGACTACTACTCGTATATATATCTTGAATTTGAAACAGCCAAATGTAACATTTTGAGTTCTATTATAAAAACATGTATAAAATATCGTTAATAATTTGTCGCTAAAAGCAAATATATTAAATTTTTCTATTAGTAAGCAAATATAAGACCTACCTACATATAGAATAAAGAAAATGGAAACAACAAAAAACTGCATCAAGTGGAAAAAACATGAATTATACAACAAAACAAAACGAGATCTTGAGCAGCAATACAAAAAGTCTGCTCCTTAAGTCAAAACAAAACTCAAAAAACCTGTTATTAACACCTTCCCTGTTCTGAACCTTACATATTCTTTTGGTGTTTTGGTCCAAAACAGACTTACGTATAAACCAGAACACAATTAAAGAAAAATTGGAACCTACATATTAACGCAAGTAATAACATTACGTAGAAAGAGGATTGATAGACCTACAAGAAATAGGCATCAAACAGATCAAATCCTTAGGATCTTATTTCCAAATAAAGGTATATAGTACAAATACATGTATAAAAATTGCACACCTTTAAACCTACAGACGCAATAACAATCTTTCGTCTTCAAGTCAATAAATAAACACAAATTCCTACAGTTATATTCTCACACTGAGGGTATGATTCTTGCAATTCAAGATCAGGTCATAGCCACAAATACCCAAAGATTTAAAAACGCGCATGGTAGGAGTTAAGTATTAGCTAATTAAGCAGATGTCCTAATAAATGAGTCCAAAATATTTTAACATCATAAATATTGTCACTAATAATTATATAGGTATCCATCACATATTGATTTCTATCTGATGTTGGAATAGTGCCTCCTGGTTCGAGTATCCCAATATAATGCAATTTGTTAGCGCTGCGAGTCCCATTCCATTTTTTGTGGATATAGTTCGCAACTAAATAACCACAGGTGGCAAAATGACGTTATTACTGCAAATTTCTTGTAGAAGATCGAATGTATAAGATTACTCGAGAAGGCACAATCGGAACCCATGTCAAATATATCGTCCTAATAGAATTGAATTACGTTGAAGATTGTCCACTTATTACCTGCAGTACAGGGTGTTCTATAAGCTCTATGACACACTTCTACAGATAGTAGTTATTTAAAACAATTTTTCTTATGTACCTAAACATAGGTCGGATTGGTTTTTGTTCAGAAGTTGCAAGCGTTTTAAAAATATAATTTTATATTTCAATCAAAGTAGCTTGATAAATAAAAATGGTGGTTGATATAACAATAATTAATTATTATTTATGATTTAGTTTATTCATTTGACTGTTAGGGTTAAAGAGCTAAATAAAAAATGCATTTATTTACAACCGAAGACTATTCAGATATTGTCTTTATATGGGTATTCCAATGGGAACGCCTGACAAGCAATCCGAAAGTACCGACGGAGATACCCAAATACACATCAACCTGCCCACGCAGTCTTTAGTGCATCATTTCGTAGACTTCGAGAAGAAGATAACTCCGCTCCAAAAAAGGCCATTCGTCCTACTGAAATGAACGCACAAAATGAAGATACATATACTAGATGCTGTCATTGACTGTTCAATTAATTAGTGTTCAACGTATAGCAAGTAATCTTCATTTATCGCCGAAATTTGTATGGTGTGTATTGAACAGAGAAATGTTAAAAATTTGTTTAGTAAATTTAACAGAATCAATTTTTTTTAACCTTATCAAATTAATTGATATAAAAAAATCTAGGCATACAAAAGATATAAAAATTTAAAAAACGGAAACAGAAAAATCACTTTGTATTAGCTGTTTTTACATGATTTGTCCTTATTAATAAAGCGGGCAACTGCGATTGAATTCCTCTTTAATAAACAAATGGGTCCGCAGATACTTATTGTGACTTGTTGAATTTACAGAGAAATAAATAAAAAATAATAAAAAACATCTTCGGTCTTTCGCACCCTGATTATAAGAATGTGCGTGTTCAAATTTGAATACAACAAATTTATAAAATACGCGACTTAATTTAGCCGTCTAACTTAATAATAATAATAATAATAATAATAATAATAATAATAATAATAATAATAATAATAATAATAATAATAATAATAA